TCATTCTTAAATGGAAGAAGTTTGGAACCACCAAGACACTTCCTAGAGCTGGCCGCCCGGCCAAACTGAGCAATCGGGGGGGAAGGGCCTTGGACAGGGAGGTGACCAAGAACCCGATGGTCACTCTGACAGAGCTCTAGAGTTCCTCTGTGGAGATGGGAGAACCTTCTAGAAGGACGACCATCTCTGCAGCACTCCACCAATCAGGCCTTTATGGTTGTGGCCAGACGGAAGCCACTCCTCAGTAAAAGGCACATGACAGCCCACTTGGAGTTTGTCAAAAGGCACCTAAAGACTCTCAGACCATGAGAAACAAGATTCTCTGGTCTGATGAAACCAAGATTGAACACTTTGGCCTGAATGCCAAGCGTCACATCGGGAGGAAACCTGGCACCATCCCTACGGTGAAGCATGGTGGTGGCATCATCATGCTGTGGGGATGTTTTTCAGTGGCAGGGAGACTAGTCAGGATCAAGGCAAAGATGAACGGAGCAAAGTACAGAGTGATCCTTGATGAAAACCTGTTCTCATAATTCACCATAACATAAAAACATGGACGGATTGAAGAAGATCAGTGGTTGAGATGGTTGACGCAGCATATTACACGGAGAGATACATGATGAAACAGGGAACAAGATATTGCCCAAGTCTCTCAAACATGTAGTGAGGTAGTATGTGATTCAAACACCAGTTCCTTGGTGTATCAGTGTCCTAGCACCGTGACAATCTATAGGTTGAGAAATCCAAACACACCCTCAAAAGAAGAAGACAGACTGCTAGACTTCAACATGGATATTTTCCCACAGATGAGAGAGACACATAGACACTTGTCCCCAAATCAAGCCTTATAAATCTAGAAGGGTGGGCTTGTCCAACATTTATTGATGATACTGCCAAGTCACATAAGCACCTGTCAAAACTTCTCTCCTCCTTTCTTCTCTCGCCTTTTGATGTCTCTCTCTGCCTCTCTCACTCTCTCGCTCGTAGCCATACCCCATTCTCTCTCCCTTCTTCCCTTTTTTGCTAACTTTCTTTGACAGGGAGAGGGAAAAATGTAAGCTTTGGATCTCTGATTGATTACACACAGAACCCGGAGCCGAACGCGGATAGGGGAGGCACCGGTTCATTTTCCATTTTAAATAAAGATGGAAAAGAAGGGAAACTGCCAAGGCTATTCATTTGATCTGAATGGAACTTCAATAAAGCAAATTCCAAGACAGCTATTTCAGTTAATCATTGGGAGGCATTCCCCAAGCAACCTTTTGTCTTGGGCCCTGACAGGCTGCAACTGTTATTTTAGCCCGCCAGAGCGCTCTATATTAAATCAATATATAATATTACCAAGGTCGGAACTATACCCCAGCCACATGAAGCATATATTTCTCAACCGCTGGTGACACTGTCCCATTTGTCTCTCTATCGCAAAACAGTCTTGCTGATTCTTCTGCCTTCTCCTCAATGCAAATGTATGTAATACTTTAGTTTCTTTCACATTGAATCCCCTTGGTGGAAATGTGTGTTGTGTCTCCTATCGAACAAGCATAGCATTGCATGCTAGCAAGGTCTATTAAAGTGTTATATAGGGGGAAATATTGAAGGTATTTGATTGTATTTTGTCTCAATTAATAGTTCATACTTTTCCATGATTGATTAAAAACATTGATTTTCACAATTAATGAAGTCCCTACCACGTGACAATACTGCACATCTCAACACTGAGGCTCAATCACAGTAGGGTCTAATATATCTCTCAGTACTTGATTCATTCTGTGCTTGAGGATGGTGTCACAGGCTTTTTGTGGGGTGTGTCTGCCATCTACTGGTAGATATATTCAATGCAGGGCAACATAAAGATCTATTGTGCATATAAAGTCATGCTATAAAATATCTGATACATTTCCACATAATAGAATCCCATAAAATAATCTGGACCAATACACCTTTCAAATACCAACTTCTGTATGAATGTCGATACAAATATCAAACTAATAATACCTACTATTACAGTGAAATTATAGAAAAATAATGAGGTTGGTATTAGGCATTTCCTCAGTTTGAGTGCACTTTGCAGAGGTAATTAAAATCTTTGGACCGTAGTAACCTAGGAAAGAAGTAGAAGGTAGTTTATAAGGTATATGGCTTATCTGAAGTCCATGGTCAGGAGGATAATAATCGACCTATTAACTTCATCTTCATCCAGCTGGCTCAGGCCCGTCTGTATCACATTTTGATGATTTTTCGAACGCTAGTGGGGAATAGGGGAAAGATCAAACACCCATAGGTGAGCTAAAGAGCATTTATTTGAGACACTTGCAATGTATCACGTACTTTAGCTAACAATTAAAGGCACAACGACATGAAGACATCATATGAACTTGAACTATTTGTATTTAATCAGACTCTACAACTCCTACTCTAAAGCTGTGATGTAATTATCCCATGTTAAGTACAATGCCATGAAAAAGTATTTGCCCCCTTTCTGATTTTCTCTATTTTTGCATATTTTGGACATTGAATGTTATCAGATCTTCAACCAAAAGCTAATATTAGATAAAGGGAACCTGAGTGAACAAATAACACAACATATTGATATTTTATTCATTTATTTAATAAACAAAGTTATGCAACACCCAATGCCCCTGTGTGAAAAAGTAATTGCCACCTTACACTCAATAACTGGTTGTGCCACCTTTAGCTGCATTGACTGCAACCAAACACTTCCTGTAGTTGTTGATCAGTCTCTCACATCCCTGTGGAGGAATTTTGGCCCACTCTTCCATGCAGAACTGCTTTAACTCAGCGACATTTGTGGGTTTTCGAGTATGAACTGCTCATTTCAGGTCCTGCCAGAACATCTCATTGGGTTTAGGTCTGGACTTTGACTAGGCCAAAGTAAACATTTTGACTAATCTGTCCATAGAACATTCTTCCAGGAGTCTTGACGATCATCCAGGTGCTTCCAGGTGCTTTTTTGGCAAACATGAGTGTAATTTTTGGACGACATGAGTCCCATTATGTCTGGCGAAAACCAAACACTGCATTCCACAGTAAGAACCTCATACCAACGGTCAAGCATGGTGGTGGTATTGTGATGGTTTGGGGATGCTTTACTGCCTCAGGACCTGGATGACTTACCATCATTGACGGAACCATGAATTATTCTCTGTATCAGAGAATTCTAAAGGAGAATGTCAGGCCATCCGTCCATGAGCTGAAGCTGAAGCGCAGCTGGGTCATGCAGCAAGACAATGATCAAAAACACACAAGCAAGTCTACTTCGGAATGGCTGAAAAGCAACATATTTAAAGTTCTGGAATGGCCTAGTCAAAATCCAGACCTAAACCCAATGTGATGATGTGGCAGGACCTTAAACAAGCAGTTCATGCTTGAAAACCCACAAATGTAGCTGAGTTAAAGTAGTTCTGCATGGAAGAGTGGGCCAAAATGTCTCTACAGCGACGTGAGAGACTGATCAACCACTACAGGAACCATTCCAGCTAAAGGTGGCACAACCAATTATTGAGTGTAAGGGGACAATTACTTTTTCACACAGTGGCATTGGGTGTTGCATATAACTTTGTTTATTAAATAAATTAAATAAGTATCAACATTTTCTGTTATATGTTCACTCAGGTTCCCTTGGTCTAATATTAGGTTTTGGTTGAAAATCTGATCAGAGTCAAAAATATGAAAAATTGAGAAAATCAGAAAGGGGCAAATATGTTTTCACAGCACTGTATATTGGACAGAACTCAGCTATCCAGTGACCACACACACATTGAGAGCTCTCACCTCTTCCCGGTGTGCAGGAGGTCAAAGGCCTCATTGATCTGATCCAGGGTCAGAGTGTGGGTCACAAACTCATCCAGCTTCAGTTTCTTGTTCATGTAGTCCCCAACGAGTTTGGGGACACTCTCCACACTCTTCCACCCTGTTGGAAAATCAAATCAAATCAAATCAAATTTTATTGGTCACATGCACCGAATACAACAGGTGCAGACATTACAGTGAAATGCTTACTTACAGCCCTTAACCAACAGTGCATTTATTTTTAACAAAAAAGTTAAAATAAAACAACAACAAAAAAAGTGTTGAGAGAAAAAAGAACAGAAGTAAAATAAAGTGACAGTAGGGAGGCTATATATACAGGGGGGTACCGTTGCAGAGTCAATGTGCGGGGGCACCGGCTAGTTGAGGTAGTTGAGGTAATATGTACATGTGGGTAGAGTTAAAGTGACTATTTAATTTAAGTGGCATAAATAATTAACAGAGTAGCAGCAGCGTAAAAAGGATGGGGTGGGGGGGCAGTGCAAATAGTCCGGGTAGCCATGATTAGCTGTTCAGGAGTCTTATGGCTTGGGGGTAGAAGCTGTTGAGAAGTCTTTTGGACCTAGACTTGGCACTCCGGTACCGCTTGCCATGCGGTAGCAGAGAGAACAGTCTATGACTAGGGTGGCTGGAGTCTTTGACAATTTTGAGGGCCTTCCTCTGACACCGCCTGGTATAGAGGTCCTGGATGGCAGGAAGCTTGGCCCCAGTGATGTACTGGGCCGTACGCACTACCCTCTGTAGTGCCTTGCGGTCGGAGGCCAAGCAGTTGCCATACCAGGCGGTGATGCAACCAGTCAGGATGCTCTCGATGGTGCAGCTGTATAATTTTTTGAGGATCTGAGGACCCATGCCAAATCTTTTCAGTCTCCTGAGGGGGAATAGGCTTTGTCGTGCCCTCTTCACGTGCCCTCTGTAAGAGACAAATGACACCATGTGCTTGTGTAATTGCTCACTGTTTGGTCATATATTTCATATAGACATATGAAGTGCATTGGTAACACTACACCTGAACCCTCCATCATAGGGGCTACAAAACGGCATCATAACATGACATTACAAATGACATACACAGTCAAGACCGTTATTGTCAGCTTATGACAATTCACTTTGCACTGTTTTGGCACAAACAATGTTTAGATTGGCTACACTTAGACTGGCTTTAATATGTCTCACATGGTCAACTCACCTCCAAAGTATGTCCCCTTCAAGGTGCGGCCCACCAAGAGGTCTTGAGGGAATAGAGATATCTCCCCCACCTCTGTCCATCCTACAACGACACAGACACCCCAGGCATCCTTACAGCTCTCCAGGCAGCTCTATGGAAGAAAAAGGAAAACTGAGAACTGAAACTGTTTGTCCATTAGCGATGCAATTCTGGCCATTTTTTGATACTGATACCACCAGACTATAGCTTGCCGATACCCACAAGGAAGGTGAGTGACCACACAAACTGTCTTACATGTAGCCCAATTCCTTAGAATTTTACCATTTGAAAAGATACAAAAATGACTTCCTGAACACCAACCATGACAGTCACATTCCCCACACACTCCAGGGCGAAGTCCACCCCTCCGCCGGTCATCTCCACCAACACCTCCTGGATGGGCTTGCTGTGGTCCTTGGGGTTCACAAACTCAGTGGCCCCAAAGGCCTCTGCCTTTTCAAACTTGTCCAGGTAGATATCCACTGCGATGATTCTGGCAGCCCCGGCAACTTTGCAGCCCATGACTGTTGCTAGGCCCACAGCCCCCAACCCGAACACTACACATGTGGAGCCAGCTCAACCTGAAGAAGGATAAGGAAAACCGTTATAGTTATCTTGACATCACATTTAAGCCTGTTGAGACACAAGACTGCACTTAGCACTAAACAGCACTGAAAATACATAGTTTGTTTTGTCTTAGTGTAAATGCATGGGGTTTGAAGCCTTATTTAACAACATTCACACTTTTTATTCTCACAAATGCTTTGGCTTAGTTTGTCATGAATACACCCATGACTACGATACTGTATAGCCTACTCTAATTTCCCACCTTGGCAGTTTTGAGAGCTGCACCGTAACCAGTGGAGATGCCTCAGCCGAACAGGCATACAGTGTCCAGGGGTGCGTCTTCTCTGATCTTGGTCACGGCAGTATCAGGGACCACAGTGTACTGAGATAAGGAGCTGACGCCCATGAAGTGGTTCACCTGTTTCCCTTTGCAGGATATCCTGCTGGTGCCATCGGTTATGACACCCATAAGTAAATTATCCCTGAAATAAAATTAAGTGTCGATGTTGCTGTAAGAGACAAATGTGATGACCACAATCCTCAAGCAACCTTGAACTATTGACAGGCTACTTCGGAGTTTGGGTAATATACAACACGTAAAAAGAGAATGCATGCCTTGGAGTAATAGGTTAACCTAGCTGAGTTACCAGTTCTTTTTGCACAAATCCGTCTTCGGACTCAGACAACGTTCACACTCTCCACATTGTGGTAAAAAGAGTGGAATCACTTTATCCCCAGAGGAAACAAAAGGGGAAATGCATGGAAAAAAAGAATGGGGTCCTTACTTTTGAATTATGTAGATAACTTCATACCCCATTTTGGTAGCACTTTATAATAACACCTTGTAAAAAAGCATTGATAAAGGATTAGTAAATAGTTTATTCATAATGTATTAATCATTACTCCCATATTTGTAACTGTTGGTAAGCTAGTTATTCACACATTTATAAACAACCTTTAAAATATGTAATAATGATTTATAAGATCATTCATAATATGTTTAATATAAGTCTGCATATAACATTTCCTAATCATTAGTCAAGTATTTTTGCACGGTTTAATCTAAGTGAGTGGGCTATTTATACTTTAAAATATACTTTACACATGTTTTGAGTGACCAGTGTAATTTCTCACAAAAACATTGACATGCCATTGGTAGACATTCCAACAGAACCTGATGCTCCTTAAAGCTAGAATTCTTAATTAAAACAATAAGAAAGCGACCCCCCTGTTTCACTAAAATGCAAAGGGATGGAGCTAGAGAAATGTAACCACTCTCAAATTCATAGACAGATCTATGGACGCAAGGACTGACCATCCATGATATCAAATGTACAGTGGGGGAAAAAAGTATTTAGTCAGCCACCAATTCTGCAAGTTCTCCCACTTAAAAAGATGAGAGAGGCCTGTAATTTTCATCATAGGTACACGTCAACTATGACAGACAAAATGAGAAAAATTCCAGAAAATCACATTGTAGGATTTTTTATGAATTTATTTGCAAATTATGGTGGAAAATAAGTATTTGGTCAATAACAAAAGTTTCTCAATACTTTGTTATATACCCTTTATTGGCAATGACACAGGTCAAACGTTTTCTGTAAGTCTTCACAAGGTTTTCACACACTGTTGCTGGTATTTTGGCCCATACCTCCATGCAGATCTCCTCTAGAGCAGTGATGTTTTGGGGCTGTCGCTGGGCAACACAGACTTTCAACTCCCTCCAAAGATTTTCTATGGGGTTGAGATCTGGATACTGGCTAGGCCACTCCAGGACCTTGAAATGCTTCTTACGAAGCCACTCCTTCGTTGCCAGGGCGGTGTGTTTGGGATCATTGTCATGCTGAAAGACCCAGCCACGTTTCATCTTAAATGCCCTTGCTGGTGGAAGGAGGTTTTCACTCAAAATCTCACGATACATGGCCCCATTCATTCTTTCCTTTACACGGATCAGTCGTCCTGGTCCCTTTGCAGAAAAACAGCCCCAAAGCATGATGTTTCCACCCCCATGCTTCACAGTAGGTATGGTGTTCTTTGGATGCAACTCAGCATTCTTTGTCCTCCAAACACAACGAGTTGAGTTTTTACCAAAAAGTTCTATTTTGGTTTCATCTGACCATATGACATTCTCCCAATCCTCTTCTGGATCATCCAAATGCACTCTAGCAAACTTCAGACAGGCCTGGACATGTACTGGCTTAAGCAGGGGGACACGTCTGGCACTGCAGGTTTGAGTCCCTGGCGGCGTAGTGTGTTACTGATGGTAGGCTTTGTTACTTTGGTCCCAGCTCTCTGCAGGTCATTCACTAGGTCCCCCCGTGTGGTTCTGGGATTTTTGCTCACCGTTCTTGTGATCATTTTGACCCCACGCGGTGAGATCTTGCGTGGAGCCCCAGATCGAGGGAGATTATCAGTGTCTTGTATGTCTTCCATTTCCTAATAATTGCTCCCACAGTTGATTTCTTCAAACCAAGCTGCTTACCTATTGCAGATTCAGTCTTCCCAGCCTGGTGCAGGTCTACAATTTTGTTTCTGTTGTCCTTTGACAGCTCTTTGGTCTTGGCCATAGTGGAGTTTGGAGTGTGACTGTTTGAGGTTGTGGACAGGTGTCTTTTATACTGATAACAAGTTCAAACAGGTGCCATTAATACAGATAACGAGTGGAGGACAGAGGAGCCTCTTAAAGAAGAAGTTACAGGTCTGTGAGAGCCAGAAATCTTGCTTGTTTGTAGGTGACCAAATACTTATTTTCTACCATAATAGGCAAATAAATTCATTAAAAACCCTACAATGTGATTTTCTGGATTTTTTTTCCTCAATTTGTCTGTCATAGTTGACGTGTACCTATGATGAAAATTACAGGCCTCTCTCATCTTTTTAAGTGGGAGAACTTGCACAATTGGTGGCTGACTAAATAAAAAATTTTCCCACTGTATAGTTTTAACCATGTTATACAGTGTTTGTTTACATTTACGTTATTGGAGTAAAACAAGCTTATATTCTGGGTTCTGATGGGGTACAACAGTTGAACTAAGCTCATGAGGAATTTATAAATTATATTCTTTAAGAATCCATGCGTATGTCATTAATTTATAAGTCAAAAAATGGATGTAGCAACAAAGGATTCTAGCTTTAAGGTTTCAAAATAGCCTAGAACATATCAATGGTAAAAGAATAAGAACACAACACAGGATGTTTAAGGAAATACTGTATATCTATATTTTTATTCACAAAAACCAGGGCCGACACGTTCCACCACGCCTGACCCCTCGTGGGAAAGGCCACAGATGCATGCGTGCACCAGTCTCATAGAGGTAACCCCAGTCACTGTGGCACACACCACTTGCTGCAACCTCTCCAACAACAGAAACAGCACACAGTTTATTTTTAAGGTTAATATCCCTGTGAGTACTAGGCTTTACATAAGCATTGGTCAGGGAAATGTTTAGCATAGGGGAAAGTTGTGGTTACCTTTATACGCACTTTGTGAGCCTTAGATGGGCCCACCTATACCTCCTCAATTGACAGGGGTTTGCCATGCTCCCACGCTACTGCTGCCTTGCACTTGATTTCCTGGGGTAATAGTAATAGATGCAATATATGCATTATAAAAATCGGTGCCTTATTACACAGACGGCCACTGCATGGGCTTACAACAAGACCGACAAGTGATTGCGTACCTGCCACTCAGTATTCATTATAACTTTTTCTAGATGTGAGTCTAGGGAAAATAAAGCACATCAACAAGTAGGCGGATAAATATAAATATTTCTAGGTGTGACAGTTGCAGATCTGTCAAACATTTACACATTACAGAGGTATCATTATGCTAGCTCTAGTCCAGGTTGTTACGTGTGGCTTGACGCTCAAGTTGCACTCATTGATGTGTACAACCCTGGATTTCTGATGCTACGTAATGGCCAATGAGAGGCTTTAAAGCCACCAGTGCAATATTGGCACACCCCAGAAGGATCAGTCCTCCATAGGAATGAATGGAATAAAACAGTATTTCAACAAAATGTTACAAGGATAAAATTACATGTATTTAAGTATTTATTTGCTGTAACATTAGTACTCTCTGTAATATTAGTACTCTCCAAAAATACTAAATATATGTACATTACCAGTCAAAAGATTGGACACACCCACACATTCAAGGGTTTTTCTTTATTTTTACTATTTTCTACATTGTAGAATAATATAGAATATATCAAAACTATGAAATAAAACATGGAATCATGTAGTAACCAAAAAAGTGTTAAACAAATCAAAATATATTTGGCATTCTCTCAACCAGCTTCATGAGGTAGTCACCTGGAATGCATTTCAATTAACAGGTGTGCCTCCTTAAAAGTTAATTTGTGGAATTTCTTTCCTTCTTAATGCATTTGAGCCAATCAGTTGTGTTGTGACAAGGTAAGGGGGGTATACAGAAGATAGCCCTATTTGGTGAAAGACCAAGTCCATATTATGGAAAGAACAGCTCAAATAAGCAAAGAGAAATGACAGTCCATCATTACTTTAAGACATGAAGGTCAGTCAATACAGAACATTTCAAGAACTTTGAAAGTTTCTTCAAGTGCAGTTGCAAAAACCATCAAGCGCTATGATGAAACTGGCTCTCATGAAGACTGCCACAGGAATGGAAGACCCATAGTTACCTCTGCTGCAGAGGATAAGTTCATTAGAGTTACAAGCCTCAGAAATTGCAGCCCAAATAAATGCTTCACAGAGTTCAAGTCACAGACATATCTCAACATCAACTGTTCAGAGGGGACTGTGTGAATCAGGCCTTCATGGATGAATTGCTGCAAAGAAGCCACTACTAAAGGACACCAATAAGAAGCAGAGACCTGCTTGGGCCAAGAAACACGAGCAATGGTGGAAATTTGTCCTTTGGTCTGGAGTCCAAATTTGAGAATTGTGTAGGTGAACGGATTATCTCAGCATGTGTAGTTTCCACCTTAAAGCATGGTACACATCGGCATTTATTGGTTCGCATACTGCCTTTAAAAGCGAGCTTGTCACACAAGCAATTACCTCCTATCTGATCAAAACAATGCATTATCAAACCGAAGAGCGAGGACGACCAAACTCCTCTGACTACAGGATATATTTTAAAACCTCTGACGGGAAATACATCTCTCCCTTTCATGATATTCCACTTCTCGCCGATGGAGATCAGGAAAATGATGTGCCATCTAAAAAACTGAAGAAGAATGAGAATGAGGTTCTGTATAACATGGTTGTGGAGGTACCTCGATGGTCCAATGCAAAAATGGAGATTGCAACCAAGGAACCACTGAACCCGATCAAGCAGGATGTGAAGAAGGGCAAACTCCGATATGTGGCCAACGTGTTTCCTTATAAAGGTTACATCTGGAACTACGGGGCGCTCCCACAGACATGGGAAGACCCGAACCATATGGACAAGGACTCCAAGTGCTGCGGAGACAACGACCCCATAGACGTCTGCGAAATCGGCACGATGGTGTGTTCCCCAGGTCAGGTGATCCAGGTGAAAGTGCTAGGGGTCCTGGCCATGATCGACGAGGGAGAGACGGACTGGAAGCTGATAGCCATCAACGCTGATGACCCAGAGGCCCCCAGCCTCAACAGTATCGAAGATGTCCGCAAGAGCAGACCCGGTCATTTGGAGGCCACGGTCGACTGGTTTAGAAAATACAAGGTTCCAGACGGCAAGCCCGAAAACCAGTTTGCGTTCAATGGACAGTTCAAAGACAAGGACTTTGCTGTGGAGGTCGTTAAGTCCACTCACGAGCACTGGAGGGCACTGGTGCAGAAGCAGACTAATGGTGGCCAGATAGATTGTAAAAACGTCTCTGTCTCCGAGAGCCCTTTCAAATGCAGTGGCGAGGACGCCTGCAATGTGGTCAGATCGGCTCCTGCTGGTGGTGAGGCACTTCCTGTATCTCCAGAAGTGGACAAGTGGCATTTCCTTTCCAAGTGATTCTGGACTGAAGTCCTGCGATGTGATAAGCTAAAGATACTTTTGTCCAATATTCAAATGAAGCACTTCAAGTACTGTATTTTTTCTATTGTTTAGTTACTGCAAATATTTTTGTATTCAGCTGATTTTATTTCAAATGGGGGATTTAAGTGTCAATTCTGTATGAATAGTTGTTTTGGTTATGTCTCCCGAGTGGCGCAGTGGTCTAAGGCACTGCATCGCAGTGCTAGCTGTGCCACTAGAGATCCTGGTTCGTATCCAGGCTCTGTCGTAGCCGGTCGCGACCGGGAGACCCATGGGGCGGCGCACAATTGGCCCAGCGTCGTCCAGGGTAGGGGAGGGAATGGCCGGCAGGGATGTAGCTCAGTTGGTAGAGCATGACGTTTGCAACGCCAGGGTTGTGGGTTCGAAAATAATGTATGCACTCACTAACTGTAAGTCGCTCTGGATAAGAGCGTCTGCTAAATGACTAAAATGTAAAATGTAAAAAAAAAAATGGAGGAGGAGGTGTTATGGTGTGAGGGTGCTTTGCTGGTGACACTGTCTGTGATTTATTTAGAATTCAAGGCACACTTAACCAGCATGGCTACCACAGCATTCTGCAGCGATACGCCATCCCATCTGGTTTGGGCTTAGTGGGACTATCATTTGTTTTTCAACAGGACAATGACCCAACACACCTCCAGGCTATGTAAGGGCTATTTTACCAAGAAGGAGAGTGATTAAGTGGTGCATCAGATGACCTGGCCTCCACAATTGGTTTGGGATGAGTCCTGTGTGGATCAGTTGGTAGAGCATGGTGCGTGCAACGCCAGGGTTGTGGGTTCGATTCCCACGGGGGGCCAGTATAATTTTTTTTTTTTTAGTTTTTTTTAATGTTCAGTTCACTTTAAAAGTATGCATTAGAGATGGAATCCACAGTAGGGGAACCAGTGCCACTGTCCGCCCCATGGCTGTTGTTATTGTTTTGTTGACGAAGCGGAAATTAGTATTGTTGCACAATGTGGTAAAAAAAAAATCCTGTGCATATTCTGCTTGTTCTATCACGCTGCAATGATGTCCGTGGGGGAAAAAATAACAGTGTTCGTTGTTTGCTGTATACTTATTTGTTGTTGTAATATCACAAACGGATGTGGCAGTTTCAACATGAAAGATTCCAGCGTTAAGGTGTCTGTAACAGGATACACTTGTCAAAAACGAATGTAGACATTAATAAAAGCATTTATATAGCTTTCGAAATATTTTTTTATGATGTAGGACACATGTGTCAAACTCATTCCACGGAGGGCCGAGTGGCTGCGGGTTTTCACTCCTCCCTTGTCCTTGATTGATGAATTAAGGTCACTAATTAGTAAGGAACTCCCCACACCTGGTTGTCTAGGGCTTAATTGAAAGGAAAAACCAAAAACCTGCAGACACTAGGCCCTCCATGGAATGAGTTTGACACCCCTGATGTAGGAGGAATACCAAAATGGCTGTGCAGGGGCTTCAAAACAGCGCCCCTGTTAGTTAGCTGTGGTTAATACATATCACTGGTCTCACGTAACGCCCTGGACCAGAGCTACATAATGCAAGGGTACACAATTGCAGTTTTATAACAATTAGTAGTTTAAAAAACATTATTATTATACAGCCTTATTTCAATTAGCCTACTCTAAAGAATATGTAAAGAATACATGTGTCTGCTCTCAAAAGTCTTACTGTTAACTTGTCAGCAAATCCAGTTCCAGAACTTCCAGTATTGTCAAAGTGGGTGTGTGGTGTTCTCAGGCAGGGAGAGAATCTCAATAACTTTTCCTCGCGCCCTCTCTCTGCTCCACTCGCATCCTTGTCAAACCCCATTGGATGAGAAAGTCAGAGGTCCCGCCCCACTGACCTTCTCCTCCAATGGATTTTGAGAAAGACACAAGGCAAGAGGACGCGAGGAGAAAGATATTGAGATCTTCCCCAAGTGTTTTTCACAGGATGTCGTAAATTAACGACAGTCTGAGTTTTACGACAGTCCAGACCGTTTCTCACCATAGAGATAGATAGATGACTCATATTCGTATCTGTGCTATTATAGCGTCTGTGCCTGTATTGGCAGCACCATTGAGGCTATCTCCATTTTAAAGTAATGAATTTTCCTTTTCTTCATTGGCTGATTGCGCTCAACTCATAGGAATGCCCACCCAGTGGACTACTTTAAATGGTGGAAGCCCTCAATGGCAATGTCCATGCTAAAATGGGTTTTATAAACTGGGTAGTTTGGGTCCTGGGTGCTGATTGGCTGAAAGCCGTAGTCTATCAGACAATATACCACAAAATTACTTGTTTACTGTTCTAATTATGTTGGTAACCAGTTTATTATAGCAATAAGGCACCTTGGGGGGTTGTGGTATCTGGCCAATATTCCACGGCTAAGGGGCTGTATCCAGCCACTCTGCGTTGGGTTGTGCATAAGAACAGCCCTTAGACATGGTATATTGGCCATATACCACAACCCCCCATGGTATGTTGGCCATAGTCCCCTGTAGCTCAGTTGGTTGAGCATGGCGCTTGCAACGCCAGGGTTGTGGGTTCGTTTCCCTCGGGGGGCCAGTACGAAAATGTATGCACTCACTAACTGTAAGTCGCTCTGGATAAGAGCGTCTGCTAAATGACTAAAACGTAAATGTAATACCACACCTCCTCGGGCCTTATGATTTAAATATCCATGAAGAGTCCTCTATCTATCTCTATGGTTCTCACTCTAGTTTACGGCACCACCTGAAAGCACACGTGTTTTCGTCGCGTGGAACCTGTGTGTAGCACTCTTCACTCCAGCAGCTGAGCTTATTTGTTGTACAAAGGTATGTCAGTCAAATATATATTTTTGTGTATTTCATCAGTTTAGCGACGCGACCATAATGTGCTCAGCAAAGCATAACGTGATACTGTAGTATTTTGATACGTTGTAAATAAGTAATCGAGCTGGCTAGCTAACGTTACCTTGTTCCATTGATCCCTTGCAAGTTGCTGTACTGATATAGTTCATAAACGTGAAATCATGCATTGATCAAGTCATTAGTTAACTTAATCCATTTAATGTTTGTTGGCTACCTAGATAGTATTTTGATACGTTGTAAATAAGTAATCGAGCTGGCTAGCTAACGTTACCTTGTTCCATTGATCCCTTGCAAGTTGCTGTACTGATATAGTTCATAAACGTGAAATCATGCATTGATCAAGTCATTAGTTAACTTAATCCATTTAATGTTTGTTGGCTACCTAGATAGTTTTATCGTGGTATTTACCTAGCAAAACATGTTCAAACATTCACTAACGTTACTGACTATGTTCGAAGAACATTGCTAGTTGTCTAGTATTTGAAAGTGAAATCTTATCTCCCGTCCTCCAACTATCTCAGGCGCACTAGAAAATGTCCTTCCGAGGAGGAGGTGGAAGAGGGGGCCGTGGTGGCGGATTCAACCGTGGTGGAGGTGGAGGAGGATACGGTGGTGGTGGAGGAGGATATGGTGGTCGAGGTGGCGGCGGCGGTTTCCGAGGTGGTGGACGAGGAGGTCGAGGAGGCTTCCAAGACTATGGCCCTCCAGAATATGTTGTTGGTAAGATGAATAAGACCGCCATGTGATGTTCCAGTGATGGAGAGGGCATTGTCTTTACATCTTGAATTTACACTACACCAATTGCACATCTAGAGATGTCCATATCGTCTGCCTGGCATTGTAACATCAGTTACAATAGAACTGGGATCAACTGATCCCAGTTCTATTTTTTTCCTGTACTGACCAGATGTCATTGCTCTTGTCTCTGCAGCATTAGGAGAATTCATGCACCCCTGTGAGGATGAAATTGTGTGCAAGTGTGTAACTGAGGAGAACAAAGTTCCCTACTTCAACGCACCCGTGTACTTGGAAAACAAGGAGCAGATCGGGAAAGTGGACGAAATCTTCGGCCAGCTACGTGACTTTGTATCCTTTAAATCTTTCGTTGTCTAACCAGAGTCATCTGTGAAGTGGTTGGGAACATGTTCATGTTTTCCTGATCTCATTAATACCTTCTTCGTGGTGATACAACATAACACTCGGGTGTAAAACATGTATGCTAGAATTCATTTTTTACTGGTTAACACTGAGTTTCATGTCATTTGTGACACTGGTTTGCCCCTTAACCTGAAGCTGCAGTATTTCTCTGTTAAACTCTCTGATAATATGAAGGCATCCTCGTTCAAGAAACTACAGAAGGTAAGCTATAGCCGTGTATTACATGTAGCAGAGCTGATGGTAGTTAGTGCTTTTATGGTCGACGAGACCCAAACTGGCATCCGTGGTGTTAACAGAGAATGCAAGATACCAGAAACACCTCCCCCAACTCGCTTGTTAACCAATCATTTCTAAATCGAACGCGGAGGCCTCCGTGGAGGTGCACTGAGCGCCGCGCGAGACCTCCACACAGCCAACGTGTACTTCCATTTTCTTGTGGATTTGCTTTAGTTATAGATGGGTTGGTTGTTTAGCAACAAAACTGACAAGTGCAAAACAGACAGGGTTGGCTTAGACGGTTGACAATAAACATCCAATGTTTATTGAAAACAAATACATTTGCACAATGAGCACTTGTTGTCTCAAATACATTGTTAGTTGTTTCTGTGCTAGCTAGTGAATTTAAGCCTTATTAGCATTGACTTGAAATCAGTCAAAACAACTCAAAACAAGACACGGTATCAAGAACAAGCTGCAATGAAACACTTAAGATTCCCTACATGGCAGTTTCTTGTCATTCTTGCTAGCAAACTGGACATCCAGAATCACAACACGCTGACTTCTGTCCCATGGAAGCGCGCACATTGTTTTTGTGATTTTTGTCAGCTAACCCATCTATTGCATAAACATTCCTACAGCATGTATTCTGTAACTCTCTCATCATATTCTGGTCCACAGTTCTATGTAGACCCAATGAAACTCCTACCACTCCAGAGGTTCCTTCCCAGGCCCCCGGGTGAGAAGGGTCCCCCAAGAGGAGGCAGAGGGGGTAGAGGTGGAAGAGGAGGTCCCCGCGGAGGTAAGAGAAAAATGTAAACAGCACAGGCCCCATGGCTGTGTGTTTTCTTTTCTTTTTTTGTGGAGGAATGTTAGTCAATTTTTATAAAAAAATATATATTTTGCCCTCCCAGGTGGATTCCGTGGTGGCAGGGGTGGTGGTGACCGTGGCGGATTTGGCAGAGGAGGTTTTAGTGGTGGACGAGGAGGAGGAGGATTCAGAGGTAGAGGAGGTGGCGGTGGGCGAGGATTCAGAGGTAAGTCCAAATCCTGGAAAAGGAAATTGAATTAACGTGAATAGACAAGTTGTAAAGCTGCTATGCATTTTGTGTTTCTGTGGTGTTGATATGCCTTTTTCTATCATCAAGGTGGGAGATGATGACAAACTGTTTGCTTCGGGATCCTCACCAAGTGTCAATACCGGCAGGAAGCAAATCGGCGCGATGCCTGAGCTTGGCTCTGTTGAACTTGACTTATGGAGAACAGACATTGCATATTTTTATACTGCTCATCTGTCAATTTGTTTTGTTTTTGTACACCAATCTTTGATGAATAATGTGTGAATTCTTGGCTTTTATTTAATGACCTTTGAATGCACTCTGCTATCACAGGGAATGGTATCATTAATAGCCCAGTTGCTGTTGCAACTCTTCAACATTGTTCACACTGGATGGTTTTTGGGTACATTTTGGATATGGTGTTGTTGTTATTATTATAATAATTATAATACTGTTGGATATGATTCAGAGCTTTCAGTTAGACCAAAATATGGGCCCCTTGGGGGAACTGGGCCTTTTTATCAATGTCATGTTGGAGTGCAACAGTCATTTCGATGTTGATGAAGCCAGAAATCGATGAAACCCTGATGTTTGTAAGTGGATGATATGATGGACATGAGTTAATTTGTTATCATTACAAATAAGTGAAAAATATTGTAGGAACCCCAGATAATCTAGAACTGTTACAGAGTACTGCCATCTTTTGTAAAGAAAAGCCTTTGATTAAACGGTGCTCTGTAGGTATCTCCAGTTTTTTTACTTGGTGTCTTATTTCTACTAATGTAATGTTAGCCTAGTGTTCCAGAAGAACATCCTTCAAATTCAGGGTGCTTGTGTGTCTGTTTTCAACACCCTTTTGTTGAAACTGTTCAGATACTGAAATAAATCTTGCTAGTACAACTGTCAAAGCAAATAGTCCAGCAGCTCTCTACAAAGGCATGCCCCATCGCTCTGATGAAGGCTGTGTAAAAATATTGAAGTTAGCTGCTATTGTGGATTAAATGTGTGCATTTGAATTATCACACCATACACTTTCATTAGGGTCTCATTTCTGTCCAGCTTATTGATGGCCTATATCAGGCCATAATGGCTACTGTGACTACTCTTGGGTGATACTTCTTGCTTTAACATCTGTGTGGTCAACATATTAGAGATACTCCACACACTTAAAGGTTGCTTCTAAGAGAAGGGGTAGTAAAGCCCCCCCCCCCATATGTGAATACTATCAGCCAAGAAGCCAGGCTTTTTTTTTTGGCACAGCTAGGTGGGTAGTCCACTTGCCTTAAACCACAGGGTTGCTGGTTCAATTATCCCCTCCCCTCAATATGTTACAAATATACCAATTGACAATGTGATGTTATCCTTTAGAAGATGTTTGCTGTAATTGTATTTAGCCCACAATTAATTTCATGCCCATTCACTTCATATGTGGTTGACTGTGGATTTCATAGGTTTGCACAATCATGGAACTCCGCGTCAACATGCCAACGTTCTTGATTGGTCAAAACGGTAGTTCTTGAGCTGCCCGCAAGTTTACTGACTTTTCGACTCGTTCAACTAATTTTTTTTCATTTAAGTCAGTAATGCCCAGAGCATGCAGGACCCCCTACTGGCTAACAATGAATGGGAATCTCAAAATAGTCATGATTCTACAAGCCTCTCGTTCACCATAAGGGGCTTATTGGAGCTGTCATTTGTGACAGACTTGTAAATGTGTGCTTTAAACAATGCACATGTGTTGATTGCTAGGCATACAAATGTGATTATTTCTTGGTACATTTGAAACGAGGTCTAGTTGTGGCTGCAATTGGACTAGATTGTGAACTACTCTTGGCGGAATGCATTGCTTGACTGCTGTGCCGTGAGGGTGATGAGCACAATATTGTTTGTGAACTGCAGCACCCCAAACGATTCGTTCTCGAGTTTGTTGAGCAGAGGCTGTGTATGTTTTGGTACCTCAAAGCTGAGTCCATCATAACATTCAATAGTCATTTAAATGCATTAATCCTAGCATCATGTGATCAATTATCAGTTCTAAACATGTATTTTTCTCTTTTATGTTGCCTGCAGCATGATCTATTTTGCTTGCGCCCATATACAGTATGTCAGACAGAAGGAATATGTTATTGAGGAGTCTGTGAATGTAAAATGTTGCAACTGTGGTGGGGATCAGATTCCTGAGTGCCCTGTTAGGGTGAAAGAGTTTGAGGTGTCAAGGATCAGGGCTTGACACCTCAGCAAATCTCCTATGTGGAGGCGGTGAAGACAGTTGAAGGGGCAAGAGGCCACAGTGCTGAAGAACATATGGCGGTGGGATGCACCGCAAACAGTTGCAAATGTTATACGTCAATCAAGTGATCTGGATACACTTATTGTGAAGGTGGATTTTGTAGCATTTATAGCCACATTTATTAATTGTACTGCACAAGTGTCCAAGAAGCCGAGATGTTTTTGGGCTTCCAAGACTTCAGTGCAGAAGCACTGCAAGGACTACTGTCGCCAGAAAATGTACCACCCTCAAAGGATCCTTCTGAGACTGTAGGGACCCGATTAGAATGTTGTTAGGAAAGCAGGGTGATTTCGTTTATATATACATATATATATATATATATATATATATATACAAACTATTTCAAGTTTTGTTTTTTTACTCCGCATTATTTCATTTTGGGGATCTTTATTATCCACCCGCACAGTAGGTGGCGGAATGCACATATAATTGTTGCGAACTCCATTATACCAAAGAAGAAGAAGACAGTTGTTGGTCGGAGCACGTCACTGTATGAGCGTGTATTAATCCTGCTGTAGATTTCATTGCGGCCAGCAGGAGGCAGTGAAGAAAGTAGAGCAAGATGGGTGATGGGTGAAAGGGGAGAAGTGGTGAGAGTAGTCGATATGTACCAGTACAGAGGGATAGGCCAACAAGTGATATAAGTTTCAGTAAGATTGGATTTTTAGCATTTATAGCAATGGTTATTCATTGTACTGCAGGGATGGAACGTAAATCGAAGAAAATTGAGGTTGTGGTGGCAGCTGCAGAGAGGTATTTGGGTGTGCGAGACTTGACATCAGAAGAGTTACAGGGAGTGTTAAGTGGTGATGTCCCATCATTTCAGGTTGAGGGCATGAGGTACGAATGAATATATTTTAATAGTGGAGTAGGGTGGTGTTAATTATTAATAATATTTTTGAATTTGTGAGTGTATTGTTAGATGGTAGGGTATTTCTTTATTTTATTTTTCAAGCAAATATAAGGGAGTTGTACTCCAGTCTAGTAGGTGGAGGTAATACAATAAATTGGATGCCAACCGCCGTTAAACCTCATCGAAGAAGAAGATTGCGACCAGCAGGTCAAACGAACGACTAAAATGAATGAGTCACTCATAAAAAGGAACATGACTCGAGTAGGTAAAAAGAGTCCTTAAAAAAGAACGAATCGTTCGAGAACTGCACATCACCCTTTCTCTCGTGCTGAAGAAATAACATGGAAACAGCTGGAAAAGTAAGTTCCAAGTAGGCTACTTCTTACAAATACTACTACTCAACTTTGCGCACATGCTCCTGGTTAAATTGTGCAATGTTTCCATTAATTCTGTCGTTGAAACGACATCAAAGCGTGTATTTTCCTCGCAAAGGCAGATTTTGTGAACAGTGACCTGGGCATAGAAGTTGCACGTCTAGCCAGCGAGAGAGCGATACAAAGAAACAGTGTATTGACTGTAGTATGTTCAATTTTCACTGTCTCAATAGTGAATGAATAGCAAGCTGAAATCATCGTTATGTATTGACGGGTCGTGGGATTTAAATGAATGAATGCCTCCTGTAGTGCGTTCGACATGTCTTTACTAACTAACTAAAACGAAAGCTGTCAAATAGGCTGCAGTTTCAGGAAATCCGTTATACGAGCTACAATTTCGGACTTTGTGAGCATAAAGAAAGAGTAGAGACTAAATTATACTGATCAAATATAAACGCAACCTGTAACGTGTTGGTCCCATGTTTTATGAGCTGAAATAAAATATCCCAGAAATATTCTATATGCACAAAAAACTCATTTCTCAAATGTTTTGCACAAATTTGTTTAGGCCTACATCCTTGTTAGTGAGCATTTATCATTTGCCAAGGTAATCCAACCACCTGACATGTGTGACATATCAAGAAGCTGATTAAACAGTATGATCATTACACAGGTGCACCTTGTGTTGAGGACAATAAAAGGCCACTCTAAAATGTGCAGTTTTGTCACACAACACAATGCCACAGATGTCTCAAGTTTTGAGGGAGTGTGCAATTGGCATGCTGACTACAGGAATGTCCACCAGAGAATTGAATGTTTTTCTCTACCATAAGCGGTTTTTGAGAATTTGGCAGTACGTCCAACTGGGCTCACAACCGCAGACCACGTGTAACCACGCCAGCCAAGGACCTCCACATCCGGCTTCTTCACCTGCGGGATTGCCTGAGACCAGCCACCCAGACAGCTGGTGAAACTGTGGGTTTGCACAACCAAATAATTTCAGAAACAGTCTCAGGGAAGCTCATCTGCATGCTTGTTGTCCTCACCAGGTTATTGAACTGACTGCAGTTCAGCGTTGTAACTGACTTCAGTTGGAAAATGCTCACTTTCGATGGCCACTAGCACGCTGGAGAAGTGTGCTTTTCACGGATGAATCCCGGTTTCAATTGTACCGGGCAAATGGCAGACAGCGTGTATGGCGTTGTGTGGGCGAGCGGTTTGCTGACGTCAATGTTGGGGTTATGGTATGGGCAGGCATAAGCTATGGACAACGAACACAATTGCATTTTATCGATGGCAGTTTGAATGCAAAGAGATACCGTGACGAGATCCTGAGGCCCATTGCCGTGCCATTAATTCGCCGCCATCACCTCATGATAATGCACGGCCCCATGTCGCAAGGATCTGTACACAATTCCTGGAAGTTGAAAATGTTCCAGTTCTTCCATGGCCTGCATACTCACCAGACTGTCACCCATTGAGCACGTTTGGGATGCTCTGGATCGACGTGCACGACAGCGTGTTCCAGTTCCTGCCAATATCCAGCAACATCGCACAGCCGTTAAAGTGGAGTGGGACAACATTCCACAGGCCTGATCAACTATGCGAAGGAGATGTGTCGCGCTGCATGAGGCAAATGGTGGTCACACCAGATACTGACTGGTTTTCTGATCCAAACCCCTACCTTTTTTGTAAGGTGTCTGTGACCAACAGATGCACATCTGTATTCCCAGTCATGTTAAATCCATAGATTAGGGCCTAATGAATTGATTTCAATTGACTGATTTCCTTATATGAACTGTAACTCAGTAAAATCTTTGAAATTGTTGCGTTGTTGTTCAGTGTACTTTGGCCTCAGTACAGCAATGATCATGGTTCCTTGCTGTTTTCAAGTTTTCTCTTGTCTGAACCAGTCCTCTCAAGAATAACTTACACAGGCAGCCCAATTCTGATCTTTTGCCCAATCATTGGCAAAGGAGTTGATCCTAAGATATGTAGGTTATAGGTGAAACTGGTTGTAGTAGCTAGACTACAGACCAAAGTCCTTCCAACTGTGAAGAGGCCTAGTGCACATTACATATCCAATCACTGACCAGCACTCCTCTCCAACTGCACTCACCACAGACAGACACCACAAACAATCTTCTAAATCATATTTTCTGTGTATGAAATGGACAGTTGACACATTGCGGTTGTCTTCCAGGTGATGAAGTGCAAGGCAGCTGTAGCCTGGGAGGCTGGGAAACCCTTGTCCATTGTGGAGGTGACCCCACCGAAGGTCCACAAAGTGCGCATCAAGGTAACAGCCCCTTCCCTACGCCAAAAATGTTATAGGTATTTTTCCATTACATATATTATAAAAGCATTTAACAATTAGCAGAATCATTATGGGTTTAAAAGAGGATTAGTGACTACACCTGTCTATGATGTATGAAACATATTTTGTAATCCAGATGCATGACCGGACAACCACATTGTGACTGCAGTAATCAATGTACTATATAATTATCATCAGGTGTGTATGTATATTATTTTTAAAGGAACTGTCTTTATCATGCCACCAATAGCCAGGCAAGAGGACGGGAAACCAAGCAGACATGGGCATAGACAGGAAAGAGTCTAGACAAAGAAACCATAGTGGCTCAAGGTCAAGGGAGGGTGGCTGTTTGGATAAAGAGGGTGTTCCGATATGATATGAAAAGATTAAGCTGTATAATAAGAGAGATCCAAGTCTGGGACTGGCAGTTGCTCCGCGGACCAGCTCGGCTTGTTACTTTGTAATAAAGTATATTCTGAACTCACAAGCTCCAGTTTCTGAGAGATATCGTTGAGAAGTATTTCCACGACAATGTCTCAGACAAATGCTCCTGTATTGTACTTGCACTCCCATGACAATTCCAGGAACAGCATAACCAACAACCCCAGCCTGCAGCAGACCTTTGTTTTGTGTGCAGTATCTTTGGTTTGTATGTGTGATACAATATATCCTCCCCCTAGAATAATATGTCTGAGTTCTTTTGCTCTGTAAAACAAAAGGACATACTGTTTGAGGCAGGCTGCTTTTCGGTGGGGATGAACTGTTCAGCTGCTTGAATACTGTGGGGAGCATCAAGTGTTGTCCTGTGTTCCTGCCCAAATGGATTTAGTGAGCCAGCTGTGAGGAAACCATCTTTGGAATGTGTTCAACAGGGCCGATCTGGTCCAGTGTTTAGAAAACGTAGTTATGGCATATTCTAGGCATTTTACCATGTTCCTCTATTGTACTAGCTAGCTGTCTGTCTTGCAACATTGAGACACAACCTTGTTTCTATTATCCACATAGCAGGTGCAGTAGTTGGTATTGTAGGAATAGTCCTAGAGGGTTGGGACTTGGTTGAACCATTTAGGATGTTTTAGGCTAGTTGGCACTACATGCTTCATAGCTTATTGGTTGTATTGAATGAGAGAACTTAATTGCAATGTTGTACGTTTCAGGTCTTTGCGACCGGGGTGTGTCACACGGATGCCGACCCTGTGGGACTCTTCCCTGTCATCCTGGGTCATGAGGGCGCCGGGACGCATGGGCGAGGGAGTCACCAAGTTCAAGCAAGGTGAAGGACTATGAATATCAACAAATGTATTCTCCCTAAAACAGTGTTTTCCTGTCCCTGGGACCCACAGGGGGAACATGTTTGTTCTAGTCCAGGACTAACACGCCAGAATCAAATAATGCAATGACTTGATCAGTTGAATCAGATGTTTGCTGAAAGTCTATTTTCTCTCCCAAGGTGACACCGTCATCCCATTGTATGTGCCACAGTGTGGTGAGTGCAAATTCTGCAAAAAGACCAACCTCTGCCAGAAGATCTGGTAATTAGAATGCAATCTCGCATGTCATCAATAATAGCTTGGAAGGTTGTGGTCAGGATTAGGGTTGCAAAATTCAATAAATTCCCTGGTTTTCCAGAAATCCCAGTTGGAGGATTCTGAATTTCCTGCTTATTCCGGGAACCTCCAACTGGGACCTCTGGAAAATCAGGGCATTTATTTACAGTTCCTGGCATTATGCAACCGTAGTCAGGATCATTCATTATTGACTCCCCATTTTCAGTCAGCCAAGTAGGCAGTGAGCATATCTATAATGATAGTATGATTAATCTCAGCAATAGTAGGACAGTATTCTACTCCAGTCTTGGGATTGCAGTTGGCGCTGTGCAAGTGAAGAAGCAACCAGGGTTGCAAACACCAACATTGCAACTTAAACCAAATCAAGGCCAAATTCTGTCAGGCAGGTAGCCTAGCGGTTAAGAGCGTTGGGCCAGTAACCGAAAGGTCGCTGGTTTGAATCCCTGAGCAGACTAGGTGAAAATAAATCTCTGTACCCGTGAGCAAGGCACTTAACCCTAATTGTTTCTGTAAGTCGCTCTGGATAAGAGTGTCTGCTAAATGACAAAATACATGAATGAAATAGCCTCCAAAATAGTTGGCTAAAGCATATAGAGATCACTGGCTGTTATCCTTGCCTGTTACTGATCATCATCCTTCATCTCATCAGGATAACCATGGGTCGGGGTTTGATGCCTGACAACACCTCGCGGTTCACCTGCAAGGGCAAGCAGCTGTTTCACTTCATGGGGACTAGCACCTTCTCCGAGTTCACTGTGGTAGCCGACATTCCAAGGTGGATGAGAAGGCCCCCCTGGACAAGGTGTGCCTGCTGGGCTGCGGCATCTCCACGAGCTACGGAGCTGCCCTCAACACTGCCAAGGTGGGTGGGTGATGCCAGGCTGCAAGACAAAATACCCTGTCTAGAAGTGGAAAGCACAAGCAAAGAGCCACAGCTTTATTGTCATTTGGTTCTATCTTTTTATGTTTTATTTCCTGTGAATTAACTTTCCACTGGTGCAAATACTTAATCTATTAATTTGCTTTCCTAAATTTGCTATGATCATGATAACACACATCTTACACAACAATTATATCATCATTTTACTGACAAAAGCCATTCTGTAACTGGTTTTATCAACCTACTCTCACAGGTACCTACCTACAGGTTGAGCCTGGCTCCACCTGTGCTATTTTCGGCATGGGTGCCGTCGGCCTTGCCGTCATCATGGGCTGCAAAGTTGACAGGGTGACCAGGATCATCGGCATGGACATCAACCGGGACAAGTTTGACAAGGCCAAGGAGTTTGGGGCCACTGAGTTTGTGAACCCCAAGGAACACAGCAAACCTATTCAGGAGGTGCTAGTGGTGATGACCGACGGAGGGTTTGACTACTCCTGTGAATGCATTGGTGACGTGGGAATCATGGTAAGACTGGTCAGGGGGAGTGGAAAAAGCAGCTTGGGCTAGAGCATCCAGTCCTAGTTCTGTACTGAGCTCAGGGGGCTGTTCAGAATGTTTAGATATCCATGTCGTCAGTGGCACATTTCTAACATACAGCTGGCGGGATATACGCTACATCGGCAGGATAGAACGGCTGACTCCGGTAAGACAAGGGGTGGCAGTCTGTGTATATTTGTAAACAAAAGCAGGTGCACGAAATCTAATATTAAGGAAGTCTCAAGGTTTTGCTTGCCTGAGGTAGAGTATCTCATGATAAGCTGTAGACTACACAATTTACCAATATATTTTTTATGTATATTTTTCTTAGCTGTCTATTTACCACCACAAACCGATGCTGGCACTAAGACTGCACTCAGTGAGCTGTATAAGGCCATAAACAAACAGGAAAACACTCATCCAGATGCAGCGCTCCTAGTGGCCGGGGACTTTAATGCAGGGAAACTTAAATCCGTTCTACCTAATTTCTACCAGCATGTTAAATGTGCAACCAGAGGGAAAAAAAAAAAACTCTAGACCACCTTTACTCCACACACAGAGACCCGTACAAAGCTCTCTCTCGCCCTCCATTTGGCAAATCTGACCATAATTCTATCTTCCTGATTCCTGCTTATAAGCAAAAACTAAAGCAGGAAGCACCAGTGACTCGGTTAATAAGGAAGTGGTCAGATGACGCAGATGCTAAGCTATAGGACTATTTTGCTAGCACAGACTGGAATATGTTCTGGGATTCTTTCGATGGCATTGAGGAGTACACCACATCAGTCACTGGCTTCATCAATAAGTGCATCGACGACGTCGTCACCACAGTGACTGTACATATATACCCCAACCAGAAGCCATGATTTACTGGCAACATCCACACTGAGCTAAAGGGTAGAGCTGCCGCTTTCAAGGAGCGAACCATCAAACAGGCAAAGAGTCAATACAGGACTAAGATTGAATCGTACTACACCGGCTCCGACGCTCGTCGGATGTGGCAGGGCTTGAAAACTATTACAGACTACAAAAGGAAGCACAGCCACGAGCTGCCCAGTGACACGAGCCTACCAGACGAGTTAAATCACTTCTATGCTCCCTTCGAGGCAAGTAACACTGAAGCATGCATGAGAGCATCAGCTGTTCCGGATGACTGTGTTATCACGCTCTCCGTAGCCGATGTGAGTAAGACCTTTTAAACAGGTCAAGGCATTCACAAGGCCGCAGGGCCAGGCGGATTATGAGCCACGAGCATGCGCTGACCAACTGGCAAGTGTCTTCACTGACATTTTCAACATGTCCCTGACTGAGTCTGTAATACCAACATGTTTCAAGCCCTTTCTAGTCCCTGTGCCCAAAAACACGAACATAACCTGCCTAAATGACTCACGTCTGTAGCCATGAAGTGCTTTGAAAGGCTGGTCATGGCTCACATCAACACCATTATCCCAGAAACCCTAGACCCACTCCAATTTGCATACCTCCCCAACAGATCCACAGATGATGCAATCTCTATTGCACTCCACACTGTCCTTTCCCACCTGGACAAGAGGAACACCTACGTGAGAATGCTATTCATTGACTACAGCTCAGCGTTCAACACCATAGTGCCCTCAAAGCTCATCACTAAGCTAAGGACCCTGGGACTAAACACCTTTCTCAGCAACTGGATCCTGGACTTCCTGACAGGCCACCCCCAGGTGGTAAGGTTAGGTAACAACACATCTGCCACGCTGATCCTTAACACGAGGGCCCCTCAGGGGTGCATGCTCAGTTCCCTCCTGTACTTCCTGTTCACCCATGACTGCATGGCCAGGCATGACTCCAACACCATCATTTAAGTTTGCAGATGACACAACAGTGGTAGGCCTGATCACTGACAACAATGAGACAGCCTATAGGGTGGAGGTCAGAGACCTGGCCGTGTGGTGCCAGGATAACAACCTCTCCCTCAACGTGATCAAGACAAAGGAGATGATTGTGGACTAAGCACGCTCCCATTCTCATCGACTGGGCTGTAGTGGAACAGGTTGAGGGCTTCGAGTTCCTTGGTGTCCACATCACCAACAAACTATCATGGTCCAAACACGCCAAGACAGTTGTGAAGAGGGCCCGACAAAGCTTATCCCCCCTCAGGAGACTGAAAAGATTTGGCATGGGTCCTCAGATCCTCAGAAAGTTCTACAGCTGCACCATTGAGAGCATCCTGATTGGTTGCATCACCGCCTGGTATGGCAACTGCTCTGCCTCCGACTGCAAGGCACTACGGAGGGTAGTGCGTACGGCCCAGTACATCACTGGGTCCATGCTTTCTGCCATCCAGGACCTCTATACCAGGCGGTGTCAGAGGAAGGCCCTTTAAAATTGTCAAAGACTCCTGCCACCCTGGTCATAGACTGTTCTCTATGCTACCGAACGGCAAGCGGTACTGGAGCGCCAAGTCTAGTTCCAAAAGGCTTCTTAATAGCTTCTACCCCCAAGCCATAAGACTCCTGAACAGCTAATCATGGCTACCCGGTCTATTTGCATTGCCCCCCACCCCCTCTTTTACGCTTCTGCTACTCTGTTTATTATCTATGCATAGTCACTTTAACTCTACCCACATGTACATATTACCTCAATGACCTTGACTAACCGGTGCCCCCGCACATTGACTCTGTACCAGTACCCCCTGTATATACTGTTATTTAATTTTACTGCTGCTGTTTAATTATTTGTTATTTTTTACTTAACACTTTTTTTCCCCCTACTCTTCACCAACAGAGGTCACTGTAGTTGGCACTTCAGGCTTGGACCACAACAGCAAAATACCTTTGACTTTACTACATTTCCCCCCAAAATACCTGTCTTCTGATGATACTCAATTTGTTGTTTCAGAGGGCGGCTCTGGAGGCGTGCCACAAAGGCTGGGGCTAGAGCATCATCATCGGGGTGGCAGGTGTGGGACAGGAGATCTCCACACGTCAATTCCAGCTGGTTACTGGCCTGTGTGGAGGGGCACAGCATTCGGAGGTCATTGTCGTGGATGATTTTGATGAGGAACCTTGACTTTTCTGACGTCAATATATTTTTCACTGCAAAGTCACCTACTTTTGATTAATGAGCAGCAATGTGGCACTAGTTATAATATTAGTAATTAAAAAATACACTTTTTTTGGAAGTATGGTAATGCATAGATTACTCATGTTTTCCTGTTCCCCTATCCCAGGCTGAAAGAGTGTGGAGAGCGTCCCCAAACTAGTGACCGACTACATGAACAAGAAGCTGAAGGCGGATGAGTTTGTGACCCATACCTTGCCCTTTGACCAGATCAATGAGGGCTTTGACCTCCTGCATGCCGGAAAGAGGTGAATAGATCAAGTGTTGCATCATATAACATCAATTAATGATGTTAGTCTATTCACATCTTTGTCAAATTGAAAATAGTTTCCAACACAGTTTATTAAAGGCCTTTTAAAGTTGCATGCTAATTTGTGTATTCCAGGATCCGTGCCATCCTGAAGTTCTGAAGTGCCTGCCTGCCTGCCATGTTGAGCCTCACACTCCCCTCCGGCTTTTATAAAACAATCACCTTTCAATCGCTATAGCACTTAACTTTCAGAATTAGATCCCCAGTCTGTACATATGTGGCTCTGTCCATGTCAATTAGGATCATTAAAATGTCAAAGGAATAAAATTGACTCTTACGTTTTATTTCCAGTTTAAAGTTAAATGTCTCATAGGTATTGGCTATACATTTGAAATTATACTTATTTATTTCCATTTCATATTGATCACAATGATTGTTGCCAAAGTATAGAGAGGATGACTCAAATTGTAACAAAGGGCTTTCCAGACTAAAGTTCAGCCATTTAATCCTATTGAAGCCTAACAATCATTCAAAGCTACACAAACAAATGCATCATGATTTGATTGATCATGGGGAAATCATTGAAAGGGACAGCAAAACTACAGCATGTATGACAATCGTGATTGAGCTGTATTTTGAGTATCTGCGTGCTATGACTAAGCCCCAACCCTAGCCCCTGCCCTGGAACACAGCTGTGAATAGACCTTTTAGAAAACATGGGACAAAATAGCCCAAATTAGGACATGTAATTTAAGAGCATGTGTATAAACACCCCAATCAGGCTAAACTTAGACTGATGTAGTCAGATTGTTATGGTGTACTCCTGGTATCAAAGCATATGAAAATACATGCTCTCTTGCATAATGAGAATCTAAATAAAATGTACATTTTGAACTGATGAAGTGGTAATAAAATAGGTGGGTAAACCCTAATATCTTGATTATATATTAGGGTAAATGTGTGTGTTATGTATGTATGTGTGTGTGTATATATATATATATATCACACACACTTACCCTAATAAATATATATTTACACGCACACATACAGTACCAGTCAAAAGTTTCGACACCTACTCAGTGCAGGGTTTTTCTTTTCTTTTTACTATTTTCTACATTGTAGAATAATAGTGAAGACATCAAAACTATATAAATAACACACATGGAATCAGGTAGTAACCAAAAAAGTGTTTAAACAAATCAAAATATTTTATATTTGAGATTATTCAATGTAGCCACCCTTTGCCTTGACAGCTTTGCACACGCTTGGTATTCTCTCAACCAGCTTCATGAGGTAGTCACCTGGAATGCATTTCAATTAACAGATGCGCCTTCTTAAAAGTTAATTTGTGGAATTTCTTTACTTCTTAATGCATTTGAGCCAATCAGTTGTGTTGTGACAAAGTAGGGCTGGTATACAGAAGATAGCCCTATTTGGTAAAAGACCAAGTCCATATTATGGCAGGAACAGCTCAAATAAGCAAAGAGAAACAACAGTCCGTCATTACTTTAAGACATGAAGGTCAGTCAATCTGGAAAATGTCAAGAACTTTGAAAGTTTCTTCAAGTGCAGTCGCAAAAACCATCAAGCACTGTGATGAAACTGGCTCTCATGAGGACCGCCACAGGAAAGGAAGACCCAGAGTTACCTCTGCTGCAGAGGATAAGATAATTAGTAACCAGCCTCAGCTTGCAGCCCAAATAAATGCTTCGCAGAGTTCAAGTAACAGACACATCTCAACATCAACTGTTCAGAGGAGACTGCATGAATCAGGCCTTCATGGTCGAAATGCTGCAAAGAAACCACTACTAAAGGACACCAACAAGAAGAAGAGACTTGCTTGGGCCAAGAAACACGAGCAATGGACATTAGACTGGTGGTTCCAACCTCTTTGTCTTTGTGAGACGCAGAGTAGGTGTACGGATGATACAGTGCTATGAAAAAGTATTTGCCCCCTTTCTAATTTTCTCTGCTTTTGCATATTTGTGATACTGAATGTTATCAGATCTTCAACCAAAACCTAATATTAGATAAAGGGAACATAAGTGAACAAATAACACAACAATTACATATTTATTTCATAAACAAAGTTATGCAACACCCAATTCCCTTGTGTGAAAAAGTAATTGCCCCTTACACTCAATAACTGGTTGTGCCACCTTTAGCTGCAATGACTCCAACCAAATGCTTCCTGTAGTTGTTGATCAGTCTCTCACGTCGCTGTGGAGGAATTATGGCCCACTCTTCCATGCAGAACTGCTTTAACTCAGTGACGTGTGGGTTTTCAAGCATGAACTGCTCGTTTCAAGTCCTGCCACAACATCTCAACTGAGGGCCAGTGGTCTGGACTGCAAGTGCCTGCCACAAGATCCTGGTTCGAACAGCTCTTCGCAGCCGGCCGCGACGGGAGACTTGGGATGCCGCGTGTTAGGAATGGAGGCAGGATGTACTTTGAGAGCATGCGTTTGCAACGCGGCCATTCCAAAACTTCCAATTTGTTTCTTTTTAGCAATTTTCATGTAGACTTGATTGTGGTTTGGATCATTGTCTTGATGCATGACCCAGCTGCGCTTCAGCTCACAGACGGATGGTCTGACATTCTCCTGTAGAATTCTCTGATACAGAGCAGAATTCATGGTTCCTTCTATTAAGGCAAGTCGTCCAGGTCCTGAGGCAGCAAAGCATCCCCAAACCATCACACCACCATCACCATGCTTGACCTTTGGTATAATGTTCTTACTGTGAAATGCAGTGTTTGGTTTTCGCCAGGCATAATGGGACCCATCTCGTCCAAAAAGTTGACTCAAGTTTGCCAAAAAGCACCTGGATGATCATCAAGACTCTTGGAAGAACGTTCTATGGACAGATGATTCAAAAGTATAACTTTTTGGACGACATGGTTACAGTAATGCCTGGCGAAACCAAGGCACACTTAACCAGCATGGCTACCACAACATTCTGCAGCGATATGCCATCCCATCTGGTTTGCGCTTAGTTGGGACTATCATTTGTTTTACAACAGGACAAAGACCCAAAACACACCTCCAGGCTGTGTAAGGGCTGTTTGACCAAGAGAGAGTGAGCTGCTTCAGATGACCTGGCCTCCACAATCTCCTGACCTCAACCCAATTGAGATGGTTTGGGATGAGTTGGACTGCAGAGTGAAGGAAAAGCAGCCAACAAGTGCTCAGCATATGTGGGAACTCCTTCAAGACTGTTAGAAAAGCATTCCAGGTGACTACCTCATGAAGCTGGTTGAGAGAATGCCAAGCGTGTGCAAAGCTTTCATCAAGGCAAAGGGTGGCTACTTTGAAGAATCTAAAATATATTTGATTAGTTTAACACTTTTTTAGTTACTACATGATTACATGTGTTATTTCATAGTTTTGATGTCTTCACTATTATTCTACAGTGTAGAAAATAGTAAAAATAAAGAAACCCTTGAATGAGTAGGTGTGTCCAAACTTTTGACTAGTACTGTATATAAGTGTAAAAAAAGAACAGGTTTAGTTAATGTACTTTGTTTTATAAAATGTGTTTTATCACAAAGTGCTTATTAAGATACCCAGCCTAAAACCCCAAAGAGCAAGCAATGCAGATGCAGAAGCTCAGTAGCTAGGAAAAACTCCCATGAAAGGTAGGAACCTAGGAAGAAACCTAGAGAGGAAGCAGGCTCCGAGGAGTGGTAGCCTTCTTCTGTGTGTGCCTGCGGGTGGAGATACGAGTACATAGCCATTAAGGTCAATTTACTAGACTAGGCTAAAATGTTTATTAGCCTACCATGAACTTCAAATAGGCCTACCGGTAGCCAGTGATAGTGTAAAAAAAAAAAAAGGTGGGTAAACTGCCGGTGAAAAAGGAACACTCCCTATACTTTCAATGCATAAAAAAAAGATGGGTATGCCTAAACAGCATTTACCCTCCACCACGGCTAGTGGCCAGTCCTCTATTGGCTGTGCTGGGTGGAGATTATAAGAGTACATGGCCGTAAGGCCAGATCGTTTTTAGATGTTCAAACGTTCATAGATGACCATGCAGGGTCAAATTATAATCATAGTGGTTATAGATGGTGCAACAGGTCAGAACCTCAAGAGTAAATGTCAGTTGGCTTTTCGTTGAGCATTGATATTGAGACAGGTGGGTAGAGAGAGAAAGGGTCAAAACAGCAAGTCTGGGACAAGGTAACACTTCCAGTGAACAGGTCAGGGTTCCATAGCCGCAGGCAGAACAGCAGAAACTATATCAGCAGCACGACCAGGTGGACAGGGACAGCCAGGAGTCGTCAGGCCAGGTAGTCCTGAGGCATGGTCCTAGGGCTCAGGTCCTCCAGGAGGAGAGACAGAGAGAGGAGAATTAGAGGGAGCATACCTAATATCACACAGGACACCAGATATAAATTATATTAAAACTAAGTGTTCCAAGCAATTTAGAATTTGAAGGACTACATCTGAGCAAGCGCAGTTAGGTTTAGCATAGTTGGTTGTGTCAAATTCGAAAGACAGTCTAATCAGCTTTTATTTTTCATACTATAGACTGAGAGGAAGAGGCAAAGCGAGAGGATTAACTCTCTCCAAAATCTGTCCAAAATAAGCCAATGGTTTAAGTAGACCTACGCTTGTTGCCTGCATAGACGTTAAAAAGATGGTATCCTGCTGGGACAACGACTCCTATTGTTCGGGCGGAGATATGAGCATCTTGTCATTATATCCAGACCTCGGCTACAGAAACAGTGTTGCCAACTTAGCGACTTTGTCGCTAAATTTAGCGAGTTTTCAGACCCCTCTAGCGACACATTTTTTAAAAAGTGACTAGCGACAAATCTAGCGACTTTTTCTGGTGTTATTGGAGACTTTTGGAGACTCTGATGTGAACGCATGTATCGTTCTTACTCTTCTCAATGAGCAGCGGGTGCTGCCGTGGACCCCACCCCCGTCCCAAAGCACTCACAGGCGGCCTAGTCCTCGCGCAGCAGTCCCTCCCAGCTGCAGTCAGAGCAGGAGATGTTCACCCCTCCGAGTGCAGACTGCAAATGAATTGCGCATGCGAGAAGCCGCCGCTGGCTGATCCCGCCCTGGCTTACATGTAAATGTAAAACATAAAAAAATTAAAAAGAATCGACAGAAGAAAGTTCATTTGTAGTTATAAACATATTTAGGGTGTTTTTTACTCACTGGTCCCAGACCCTTGGCGCTCCACTGTTGCACACTGTTGCCAGGCATAAGCTGTTATCATAACAACCTGTAGAGTCATCACCCATAGACACCATTCCACTGTACTCTAAGTACCTACGTTCAAGGACGGTTCACAGACAACAAAGAGGCAGTGTTCGTATCTGTAAGAAATACAAGTCTTATCTGTAAGAAATACAAGTCTTATCTCATCCTACCCCCTAACGTTCCTCACATGAATCACAGCTTGTTATGTGAAACAATTCATATCAGTACAGTATAAACCTATGTTTAATCACCAATGCATTCCTTCTAAGCTATTCATCCCTCCAGTTATGAGAAAATAGATCCCCACAGCAGTCTTAGGTTACAGCTCTCCACAAATCAATCAAATGTGATATATAAGCTGGTAATACAAATGTACAGTGAGGGAAAAAAGTATTTGATCCCCTGCTGATTTTGTACGTTTGCCCACTGACAAAGAAATTATCAGTCTATAATTTTAATGGTAGGTTTATTTGAACAGTGATTGACAGAATAACAACAAAAATATCCCGAAAAACACATGTCAAAAATGTTATAAATTAATTTGCATTTTAATGAGGGAAATAAGTATTTGACCCCTCTGCTAAACATGACTTAGTACTTGGTGGCAAAAAAGTTGTTGGCAATCACAGAGGTCAGACAATTCTTGTAGTTGGCCACCAGGTTTGCACACATCTCAGGAGGGATTTTGTCCCACTCCTCTTCTCCAAGTCATTAAGGTTTCGAGGCTGATGTTTGGCAACTCGAACCTTCAGCTCCCTCCACATATTGTCTATGGGATTAAGGTCTGGAGGCTGGCTAGACCACTCCAGGACCTTAATGTGCTTCTTCTTTTGAGCAACTCCTTTGTTGCCTTGGCCGTGTGTTTTGGGTCATTGTCATGCTGGAATACCCATCCACGACCCATTTTCAATGCCCTGGCTGAGGGAAGAAGGTTCTCACCCAAGATTTGACGGTACATGGCCCCGTCCATCGTCCCTTTGATGCGGTGAAGTTGTCCTGTCCCCTTAGCAGAAAAACACCCCCAAAGCATAATGTTTCCACCTCCATGTTTGACAGTGGGGATGGTGTTCTTGGGGTCATAGGCAGCATTCCTCCTCCTCCAAACACGGCGAGTTGAGTTGATGCCAAAGAGCTCAACTTTGCTCTCATCTGACCTCAACACTTTCACCCAGTTCTCCTCTGAATCATTCAGATGTTCATTGGCAAACTTCAGACGGGCCTGTATATGTGCTTTCTTGAGCAGGGGGACCTTGCGGGCGCTGCAGGATTTCAGTCCTTCATGGCGTAGTGTGTTACCAATTGTTTTCTTGGTGACTATGGTCCCAGCTGCCTTGAGATCATTGACAAGATCCTCCTGTGTAGTTCTGGGCTGATTCCTCACCATTCTCATGATCATTGCAACTCCACGAGGTGAGATCTTGCATGGAGCCCCAGGCCGAGAGAGATTGACAGCTATTTTGTTTTTCTTCCATTTGCGAATAATCGCACCAACTGTTGTCACCTTCTCACCAAGCTGCTTGGCTATGGTCTTGTAGCCCATTCCAGCCTTGTGTAGGTCTACAATCTTGTCCCTGACATCCTTGTAGAGCTCTTTGGTCTTGGCTATGGTGGATAGTTTGGAATCTGATTGATTGATTGCTTCTGTGGACAGGTGTCTTTTATACAGGTAACAAACTGAGATTAAGAGCACTCCCTTTTAAGAGTCTGCTCCTAATCTCAGCACGTTACCTGTATAAAATACACCTGGGAGCCAGAAACCTTTCTGATTGAGAGGGGGTCAAATACTTATTTCCCTCATTCAAATGCAAATAAATTTATAACATTTTTGACATGTGTTTTTCTGGATTTTTGTTGTTGTTATTCTGTCTCACACTGTTCAAATAAACCTACCATTACAATTATAGACTGATCATTTATTTGTCAGTGGGCAAACGTACAAAATCAGCAGGGGATCAAATACTTTTTTCCCTCACTGTATGGTGTTGTTGCGAATGCATGACCCCAGACATTGATTATTGGAATGTTCGACTCACTTCGATAGCTTCTAAAATGCACGAGCCCTCGCTAGGTAATCAATTGTGCATGCTGGAGTTGTGCATACCTGGCTGATAGCAAGTCACAAGACGTCTTAATGTTACGTTAGTCACTATAGCTAACTTCATAAGTACTTAAAGTTGAAAATATCCATGCCCAGTTTCAACCATTGACAGTACAAGGAACACCCAACAGGCATGCTCGCCCCTGCCCCTTCAAAAAGCTAGATAGCTAGCTCACCTTACCTTAGTTCAGGGTGCGTTCCAGGACGCTTTTTGCAGTTGTACTGCGTTTATCTGAAGAATGACATCTCTTCCCCATCTCTCAAGGAATCAATTTCGAATCCCCCAAATTCAGAGGAAGAAAAAAGTTAGACAACTGGTAAAGAATTTGTGAATCCTGAAGATTACATCAAACATCCACTACAAAATAAGTAAGCAGCTAGCTATCCATTTTAAATCAACCTATATCAGTGTGAACTAGCTAGCTAAGTTACAGTATGAAGATGGGCAGAAACTGCTTCTGGAATAGAAGTCCCCAATGTCATGGCGATGTTGGCTAGCTATGCTCATCCGCATTAACACATCGGGGTCTAACGGTCGTCTCGCACCGAACTGAACTGCGGCCGTCAAATCAAAGGCACTGCTTCGATATAAAGTAGATTTTGACATTTTAACAAGGTTAGAGTAACAACATGTTGAACAACTTAAGACATTGCCACAAATCTAGGTTGTGCCTTTAGATTTCGAGAAAATTAACAACTAAGGAAAATGTTTAACTTCTCAAACCCCGGCCTGGTCTGCTTGGTCTGTTTCGCAAGCATTCCCGGAAGTCTTGCGATGTTGCATCGCTGGGTTTAGACAGTGGCTATATGCATTGGGATATTAATTATGCAATGTTAATGTTTGAAGATGACTGCTTTTACCAGTCTTGTCAGGCATGGACAGCTATAAATATTACAGAAAGCACTGTACATCCCTAAAAGTGTTCTATGGCCTCTGTTATGGACCATTAGGCACATAGAACTTGCCCTGTAACCACAAGCTCAATTAATACTCTGGTTCCCCCTTAATCGCTACACAATTTGTAGGAAACATACATAGTAAACTGAAAGCTGTCATAAGGTTGACTGGGAATATATGCTTTGCCTGATGCATTGTCAATATAAGCTTGTAGGGCTATAGTGTTGACAAAGTCTTTGCATTTTGTTTGCAATGCAGATGGGCTCTGTGGTTCTTTAAGAATGACATCAAAAACCTGTCAAGCAAACCTCTGTCTCGTCTCCAAGTTTGACACAGTGGAAGACTTCTGGGCGTAAGTATTTCATTGTGGAAAATTGCCTACAACAGTGGTTCCCAAACCGGTTTTCAACTTACTCTTGAAAGTTGTAATAGTAGAATGCACAAGGTGCAATTTCGAAATTGGGTAGTGCATCATCAGTTTTCCTCTTGTCATGTCAGTCATTGCATACCTTAGAGAACTATTTATAACTTGTCAGAAATGTCCAGATCAACTAGCCCATCAACACCGTTTTTTAGCTAGGTTTTTTTAGCCCATAGATTTTGTAGTAATTTTCGAGTCACTCAAATATCACATGAATACACATTAGACATGGCAAAATGTATAGAATTGAAAGAAAATGGGCTTCAAAACTGCACATTTGTCTCTGCACCTCCATGACAAAATGTGTAGAATTGCAGGAAATATGCTTTAAACCTGCAACGTTTTCAGTTTGGGTCATGAGCAGTACTTGTGCCCATAGAAATAGATGTGGCAGGGGACGCAGGATGTTCCCCAATGCAGGAAGGGGGGCCTGGGAACCCCTGGCCTACATCCTACATTGATGACAAAGACTGTATTCTGACTTTTACTGCCTCTCACTACGATGCCTTTTCTCCTTTCCTCAGTCTGTATAATCACATCCAACTATCAAGTAACTTGATATCTGGCTGGGACTACACACTTTTCAAGGTAAGGGTGATTTTCCCCATCTGTAAAAATAATATAATATAATATATAAAAATAATATAATAATCTCACACCTGCTCCTTTTTTGTTCCATACACTTTTCAACATCCATACCGGCACATTTTTGTCTGTTCAGGTTGTGGCCATTAGCAGCAACCAATTAATTGTCCATAACATTCCGTTAATTCACCGAAGTTCAGTTGAGTTCTTGACTTGCCCAGTGCCTTTTAGACAGAGGGCTACACTATGACAGGGAGTTGTCACATTTCCCACGGTCTCGTTTCAGCCTGTGGCTTTAGCTTTTACTGCAAGGGTTATGACTCCTCCCAAGGACGTCAGTCCGCCCCATATCGACTACTACTCAGACTGATGCAATTGCACAAGCCTCTCCCAGTGATAATTAAATGTCATGCTTAGCTACACAGGGGGGGTCACTTGCAATCACTTGGGCGAGCTGTTCCTAGGTGAATAATTTCAATTTAGGTTTTTATTGTCTTGAATAACAACCAAACATGCAGAAACTAACTGAGAAAAGAGTTGTTCTTGGATATAGCTTAATCGCTTTATCTAAACACAGTTTAATCCAAAGCCCATCTCCTATCTTGTAGTATCAAGTTCTGCAACAAAAACAAGCAATTGTCGAGGTTCCTGCTCTACAGTTTGCCTGCACAGACAGCAAGCAACCCCTGACCTATAAAGGCAAACATGGTGTAGGGCAAAAAAATAGGTAATGTTCTTGACCTTTGCACCCTGATCCTGGTCTGTTTTTGTGCTGCAGGATGGTATTTAGCCCATGTGGGAGGACAAGAGGAACAAGCGTGGCGGCAGGTGGCTCATCACACTGTCCAAACAGCAGCGCAGGGCCGACCTCGACCGCTTCTGGCTGGAAACGGTTAGTACCTCACCCCTACAGGTCTGATTACATACACAAGGTGCAGAACTACACTATTTGTATTTTACCATACTCTGTAAAAGCTGTGATGTATTTCTCATGTTAAGTGTGTGGGACATAACTGCTATCTAATGACCTCTCTCTTACACACACAATCATTCTTAGACATTCACATAGTACATCCACACATCCATGTCTCAGAAAGTTGACTATGTTTAGCTGTTCAAATGTTAAAAACATCTGGCTGTCCATGTGCGTTGCAGCTCCTGTGCCTTGTGGGCGAAGCTTTCGATGACCATAGCGACGATGTTTGCGGGGCAGTTGTCAACATCCGAACGGAGGAGGAGACAAACTCGCGATATGGACCACAGACTACGAAAACAAGGATGTCATTACACATATAGGGTGAGCTGGTGTCGCAATACCATTTAGTTAGCCCTGAAAGATGTTGACCATCTATTTTTATCCATATCCAGATATTCTGATTTTTACTAAACAATGTGTATTTGCCTTTCTCTGTAGGTGGGGGTGGAAGGACAGGTTAGGCGTGCCACGCAGGTGATCATCGGATACCAATCACACAAGGACACTGCCACTAAGAGTGGTTCCACCACCAAGAACATGTTTGTCGTCTGAGGAACCTCGACAAGCACCATGGGATTTATTTTATGTTTTTTTCTTTGTTTGCTTGGTTGTTTTTCCTTTCCGTTCTGCTTCCATGGCGTTCGTTGAAATGCTGTTGAATCTGTTACCCAACTGAAACCAAAGCTTCAACACAGATAATTGGACTGCCTTCATTCAATCAATTGCAATATCATTCCAAGACAAAATGTTCTCATTCATATCTGCCCCGAAACAAACCTATACCTTACCTTCGATGAAGGTTGGAATAACCATGAGAATTGGAATACAACATTATTTGTTTAAATTTGATAAACATGTTTTTTTTTAAGGCACCATTTTACTATCTTCTTTATGGGGATATACTAAGAGTATTTTTCGCTTCTGTATTTTATGTTAAAAAGCAGCACACTCGTGCTGTCCTTTTACTTAATTTATTTTGCTTTACCCGGTCTAAACAAGTGCTGTAGTTTCCTCAATTTATTATTTTCAATTGGTTTAGCCTAAAGAGGTCCAAGTTGACATACAATAATTTACCTTCAGTGAAATCTTTGTTCATTAAACATTTTGTGATGCAGTTTTATGTAGCATTCTGATGTTTATTTCTGTTACAATATTGTATTTTTCATGTAAATCTGTATATTCGTTTTTACATTTCCTCGCCAACCACATTAGAATGGTTTAATAAAGTGTATGTAAAACTCGATCATTGACGGTCTATTAGGTGTGACTGAATGCCTTGCTTTGGCACGCTGTCCCACTCCTATGAACATGGTACATAAGATGACTGTAAATAAACATGTTCAGGATGTTGTCTTAACTCTGGAAGTGGAGAGATTCCTCTTAAATTTAAATAGATGTTGATGCCTGTAGACCTTAAACTACTGTTTCAGAGAAGCCTTTTAAATCTCAGTCTCAAGTCCCACCAGACTCATTCACAGTGCAATTGTATGCCTAACAAAGTGGTTAAAAAAAGAACACATCAAGTGAAACCTCAATTCTCACTGCAGATGCTTAAGTCTACCAATTATCACCCCTGTGCTGGAATGCTAATTTCTGAGGTGTGGATGTATTGAAGCACTGGATATTTCTTGGTAGCCTTGGACACCTCAAATTCATATAACATGAACTTTTTTTTAACGTCATTTAGCATACGGTCTTATCCAGAGCGATTTACAGTAGTGAGTGCATATTTTTTGGGGAGGACCATGGGACACCATGACATAAGCCTTTTCGTGACATAACTACATGTTTGCATTATTGTAGCCATTTTCTGTAGCCTATCAACTATGCCTCTGTCTATCCCTGTTCTCTCCTCTCCGCACAGGCTATACAAACGCCTCACACCGCGTGGCTGCTGCCTCTCTAACCTGGTGGTCCCTGCACGCACGACCCACGTGGAATTCCAGGTCTCCGGCAGCCTCTGGAACTACCGTTCTGCGGCCACAAGGCAGAGTTCATCTCAGCCTATGCTACCCTCCAGTCCCTCGACTTCTTGGCGCTGACGGAAACATGGATTACCACTGAAAACACTGCTACTCCTACTGCTCTCTCCTCGTCTGACCATGTGTTCTCGCATACCCCGAGAGCATCTGGTCAGCGGGGTGGTGGCACAGGAATCCTCATCTCTCCCAAGTGGACAGTCTCTCTTTTTCCCCTGACCCATCTGTCTATCTCCTCATTTGAATTCCATGCTGTCACAGTCACTAGCCCATTCAAGCTTAACATCCTTGTCATTTATCGCCCTCCAGGTTCCCTTGGAGAGTTCATCAATGAGCTTGATGCCTTGATAAATTCCTTTCCTGAGGATGGCTCACCCCTCACGGTTCTGGGTGACTTCAAACTCCCTACGTCTACCTTTGACTCATTTCTCTCTGCCTCCTTCTTTCCACTCCTCTCCTCTTTTGACCTCACCCTCTCACCGTCCCCCCCTACTCACAAGGCAGGCAATATGCTTGACCTCATCTTTACTAGATGCTGTTCTTCTACTAATCTCACTGCAACTCCCCTCCATGTCTCCGACCACTACTTTGTATCCTTTTCTCTCTCGCTCTCCTCCAACAGTACTCACTCTGCCCCTACTCAGATGGTAATGCGCCGTCACAACCTTCGCTCTCTCTCTCCCGCTACTCTCTCCTCTTCCATCCTATCATCTCTTCCCTCTGCTCAATCCTTCTCCCTCCAATCTCCTGATTCTGCCTCCTCAACCCTCCTCTCCTCCCTTTCTGCATCCTTTGACTCTCTATGTCCCCTATCCTCCCGGCTGGCTCGGTCCTCCCCTCCTGCTCCGTGGCTTGACTATTCATTGCGAGCTCACAGAACAGGGCTCCGGGCAGCTGAGCGGAAATGGAGGAAAACTAGACTCCCTGCGGACCTGGCATCTTTTCACTCCCTCCTCTCTACATTTTCTTTATCTGTTTCTGCTGCTAAAGCCACTTTCTACCACTCCTAAATTCCAAGCATCTGCCTCTAACCCTAGGAAGCTCTTTGCCACCTTCTCCTCCCTGCTGAATCCCCTCCTCCCTGCTGACTGGTCATTCAACTGAGACTGCTCTTCTCTGTGTCACGGAGGCTCTCCGCACTGCTAAAGCTAACTCTCTCTCCTCTGCTCTTGTCCTTCTAGACCTGTCTGCTGCCTTTGATACTGTGAACCATTAGATCCTCCTCTCCACCCTCTCCGAGTCGGGCATCTCCGGCGCGGCTCACTCTTGGATTGCATCCTACATGACCGGTCGCTCCTACCAAGTGACGTGGCGAGAATCTGTCTCCGCACCACGTGCTCTCACCACTGGTGTCCCCCAGGGCTCAGTTCTAGGCCCTCTCCTATTCTCGCTATACACCAAGTCACTTGGCTCTGTCATATCCTCACATGGCCTCTTCTATCATTACTACGCAGACGACACACAACTAATATTCTCCTTTCCCCCTTCTGATAACCAGAAGGTGGCGAATTGCATCTCTGCATGTCTGGCAGACATATCAGTGTGGATGACGGATCACCACCTCAAGCTGAACCTCGGCAAGACGGAGCTGCTATTCCTCCCGGGGAAGGACTGCCCGTTCCATGATCTCGCCATCACGGTTGACAACTCCGTTGTGTCCTCCTCCCAGAGTGCGAAGAGCCTTGGCGTGACCCTGGACAACACCCTGTCGTTCTCCGCTAACATCAAGGCGGTGACCCAATCCTGTAGGTTCATGCTCTACAACATTCGGAGAGTACGACCCTGCCTTACACAGGAAGCGGCACAGGTCCTAATCCAGGCACTTGCCATCTCCCGTCTGGATTACTGCAACTCGCTGTTGGCTGGGCTCCCTGCCTGTGCCATTAAACCCCTACAACTCATCCAGAATGCCGCAGCCCGTCTGGTGTTCAACCTTCCCAAGTTCTCTCATGCCACCCCGCTCCTCCGCACACTCCACTGGCTTCCAGTTGAAGCTCGCATCTGCTACAAGACCATGGTGCTTGCCTACGGAGCTGTGAGGGGAACGGCACCTCCGTACCTTCAGGCTCTGATCAGTCCCTACACCCAAATGAGGGCATTGCGTTCATCCACCTCTGGCCTGCTGGCCCCCCTACCTCTGCGGAAGCATAGTTCCCGCTCAGCCCAGTCAAAACTGTTCGCTGCTCTGGCACCCCAATGGTGGAACAAGCTCCCTCACGACGCCAGGACAGCGGAGTCACTCACCACCTTCCGGAGACACTTGAAACCCCACCTTTTTAAGGAATACCTGGGATAGGATACATTAATCCTTCAACCCCCCCTTACCCCACCCCCAAAAAATAAAGAATAATAATTAAAAAAAAAAACATATTGTAAAGTGGTTATCCCACTGGCTATAAGGTGAATGCACCAATTTGTAAGTCGCTCTGGATAAGAGCGTCTGCTAAATGACGTAAATGTAAATGTTATCGTTAATAATTTCTGATCTGACAGATTGAGAAGAACAGAGAAAATAAGAGAGAATATGGTGTTACTCAGTGTGAACTTGTGTAATAAAGCAGTAGCGGGAAACCTTTATGTAAGTTTAACTGTAACAGGAAGAATGCGTTTGAAATTTTCACCCTAAATTATACAGATTAAATTATTATATCCTTTTCATTTGCAGATTAGCCAATAGACTATGAAACTTTCAGAATGTTTGAAATGTAATTAATAGATCTGACATGATTCCCTATTCTATATGAAAGACAGTTTTACTAAAAACATTTAGATCTGAATGTTGTGTGTTTGGTAATGGCAGTTCAGAGCGCATTGAGTTAAGATAGCACTACCACACAATCACTCTCTGTACCAGTAGATGGCAGTAAGTATACTCTGAAGGCTACTCTGAGGCAATTTCCTGTTTGGAGTTGATCAAATGAAGTGTGTGTCTAGCCTCTCGGATTTGCTGCTTCTTGGTACCACGTGGTGAGAGAGATTGTCATTTTGTTGTGCGCCTACACATAGACACTAGAAGGACTAATGTGGGACTTCAGTCCCTTTGAAGGATCTTGTATTTGTGTCACCTCAACTTAAACCACTGAACTACCAGGCAATACTGGAGCAGGACGGTCTAGATAGACTGATCTACCAGGGAACGTTGGCGCTGGTTGGCCTAGAATGGACTAAACTACCAACCAAGCAACAATCGAGCTGACCGGCCTAGATGGACAGCGTTGCCAGTCAGAAGTGGAAGAAGGTAAACGGCTTAGCAGACATTTATAGCAGGTTACAACCCTGTTTAGGCAGGCCTAGGACCCCTAGACAGGGAGAGTATCATTAGGCTTACTAGTTTAGAAAAACTGAAATGGTTTGAAGAATCCAAGGTCCAGGGCACTCAGATTGGTTTTAAAGGTAAAAAGCCTTATTTACTAATCTTATGTTTTTTTAAAAACACATATGCGTTTCAGCATAGAGCCTTCATCAAGGCTGGCTGGTTATATCACTCCTGAACAGGCTCCAGTGGTGACATCCTCCTGGATCATGGGAAATTCACTGAAATCTAAACTTATTGCAATCATCCACAAGGGGGCA